AATATAGTGAGCAAAAAGTCTTTATGAATTGCTTTGGGCATGTTTTGAGGAAGGTTGGATTGGGCTCTGAGTGAGTGGCATCTCTATTCATGTTAGGGGGTTTGGAATTAGATGATCTTTTAGGTCCCTTCCAACCCAAACTGTTCTGTGATTCTACGATTCTCTCAAGTAATGGTTCTTCACATTTCAGCAAACAGCAAACCTGAGTAAGATGTAAACAAGCATAAATTGTAAGCATTTATAATAATAAGTCTCATCTCCTTGAACCAAACCCAGCAAATAACAGTTTTGTTTCAAAAGGCAGGTCATAGCCTGCCTGGGATATACTCTGCCAAATTCCTCCACAGAAATCCATGATATATTACTTCTACTTATATAAAACATAATGTCTACTTTTGACACGTATTAAATAGGTATGACTAAGGCAACTATATATTATCATTTCTAATAAATAGAAAAGCCAAATAGCCTCTTCCAACTTAACAAAGCCTGAGAAACCTCTTAGTAAATCTGCAATCAAGTAATTGGAACATTAGTCCCAGAATCTCAGATCTTCTGCTAACCTTGTTGATCATTTACAGACTGAAGTGAGTAAACTCTTCATGATGTAAGGGGGGATGAGATCGGCAAATTAAAGGGATTATCCTGTATGTTCAATAACCATGAAGTATGATTTTCCCAGTATCCCGTACCTGTGACTCATGACTAGGGTGGGAGTGAGACAGCAAGAACTGCGATTGCATCTGCAATTGCAGAAAAAGTGGTATGTTAAAGCATAACACAGGTATTCCCTATCTTATTGTTGTTTATGACTCCGGCCTATGTGTAGCTCAGTCGTTATAAGTAGCTAGCAACAGAGGGTTTAATACTAATAAATCATCTAAATTATCAGCAGTTATGACCCTAGGTTAGAAGTAGCTAAAATTGAAAACCTACCTAGTAGCACAAGGCAGCACAGTTTTGTGGTTGTGCCTAGCCAGAAAGGAGATCTTGAGCTTGTATACGAAGCTTTGGTTGCTATTATGCTGGCCGGAAGACATATTTTTGTAAAGTGACGCAGAAAGCAGAGGAAATTGTGCAGAAACGAAATGAAGAAGTTCAGGTTCTACTGTCGATCTAGCCCCTGCTTAAAGGAACTCCACTACACCCATGCATGGGCACCAACACTGACATTTCCACAAAGATTCATCCCATCTCCAAACATCCAACAGGCCTTAGTCCTCTGCTCTCAACTACGACTCCTTTTATTTCATTTTCCCTTCTCAATAATTGAAACCTTCGCTCTTCTTCTTTGTCTTGTTTCCCCCAATGCTGAATCAGACACGCACAGTTCTATCCTTCCTTAAAATCCATTTGTGATGATGACACTGACCTGGATCTAGGCTTTGTACAGTTGCATTTCTCTTTCAATCTTTATTCTAACCACCAGTCAAGGCAAGTTATGTGCTGTCCAAGTAAGAAGCCAAAGCATGAGCAGAATGTTCATTTGAACAGGATGATGTGACTCAATTTCCTTTTGTACTCAAATAGCAAACTAACCTAAGACCTATATTACAGGGCTGGGTTGAGTGAATTTTTTAAATTTCTTTTTTTAACAGACGAACATGAAGGTATAAAGTTAGCACACTGAACAGCTTCAACATACAAACTTCAAGGAACATATCAAGGACAGTGACTCAGAGGTATGAAAACACCAATTGAGAAGTTCAGTTTCTGACCTCCAGCAGTTTTGGTGCTGGCCAAAAGTACAGTCCCCAAGGTGACAAGAAAATTATCTATGCAACACCTTTTCTGCTTTTTGGTCTCACTTTATGTGCAAAGAGCTCAGACTGGACTCAACAAGGCAGCAGAGTGCACAAAGCTCTTGATCTCAAGGCCTGATACATCTTTGTATGGAGTGGCAGCTGTCACATAGCCGCCATTTGATGAATGCAATTTATTCTTGTCTCTTCTGAATTATTACTTGGTAGTTAAAGTTTTGTGGATAACTTCAAGCCCTGTGGACAGAGCACAAGGCAGTAGGCACTTCCCTGCTTCTTGCAGAGGCTGTACATGTGGTTTCGTGATCATTCTAAACCATCAAAACCGTCAGTGTCTGATACCCAGGCTGTTCCCCACCTTCCTGTGCACTTCTGCAGAACCAGCTGATCATTTTGCCATCCAACCACCATTGCTACAATGTCAGGCAACAACTTGTCTTTATGTAGGATTAAGTACTGCTGGTGAGTACCATTATCCATGTAGCTGTACTCTTTCAGTGCTCTGACAGAAAAATTGCACATTTCTCTTCCCCAAGCCCATGAATATATGCAGTGTCCAAAACAGGCATCCCACCTGTTCTGAATCCTGGTCTAGATGAAATGGTAACTGCTTCCTCAAAGCTTTCAGAGTTTATCCTGATAATGTCTCACAGACTGCTGTCTCCACATTCTTGCTCACCCTCGCAGCCCTTCCTCTTTCTCTCCCTAACTAGTTTTGGGGGGTTTTGAGTCTTTGTATTTATTACTGCTAATAGTACTGTTTCAAATGTTGTTATTCTTAACACTATCCTTGATAGGAGACGAGCCTCTCAGAGAAAACCATCCTCTCATCCACAGCAGAGGACGACTGCATGATGACAGGAGCAATGCTAGTTCAGTCTTGTTGGAATATTGTTTTTGTTATTGCTCACAAAACTGTGTGTGTTTTCCTATCATGTTTGACTCCAATTGAAATCTAGAACTGGAGTTGAAAAATAGACCGGGCTAACATTTTCCTGTTTAATTTCTAGTCAATGCCTCTAGAAGAGACCTGACTCAAAGCTTTCCTCTTTTTAGTGAGCTATCTTATACCGATGATATGGTTTGAGGTCAGCATTCATGCCTGCAGTTCAGGCATATTTTTCAAGGGCTACTAGCCTCTCTCTGTCTTTTTTTAACAGCAGGAACTCTTCAGTTGCTTTTCATATATGTCCGAAGCTTATTTTACTTCTAATGTTTAAACAGTGAGGAATCTCCTCTTAATTCTTGAAAATCTAATAACCTGTTAGAGTGAAATCTTCCGTTATGTCTCTTAAACACTTTGTTATTCTGGCACATTTAGCTTAATTATTAAACATAAAACAAGTTCAGGGGAAAAGTGCATGTATAATGAAAAAATCCTTTGCTCAGCTGCATATTTCTTCCCTCAATCAGTGGCACTTCTTACTTGCTTAGTAGCAAAACTCAGTACCTTGTGGTAGTTGTACAGGGAATCACTGCCCATCTGAGCTCTAAGACTGGTCAAATTGTGGGCAGAAGTAGTCCTGCCTAATTCTGTGGGTCTGTTCTACTTGTGTAATCATGACAATGATCTCTGACAGCTCAACAGCTTTTCATATTTTCAGTTCTCTCTGCTTCGTCAAAATAGCACTAGATGTTGAATGTATGAGATTAACATCATAGTTAAGCAAGAAGAAAGGCTTGTGCCTTCCTGTATGTGGGCTGAGAAAACCCTCAACTGTCCTCAGTAAAACAGTAACACCAAAGGCTCTTTTTTTCACACGGGTTTTGTATGACATATGCTACAGCTGCATGAAATGGCGAAGAAGGTTGAAGTCACAAAAGCAAGAGATTATAAGGTAAAATTCAAACATTTTATTTCTATAAATAGTGAAAAATCCCCATAATCTATTTCTGAGGGATATAAAATGTTGGCATTTAGCTGTAATTTTTCTGTTTATAACAACAAAAAGATTGTACCTTCTTAAAGTCACTTTGAAATATTAACAATAGAAATTGGAAAATGAATTTGCTTGTAAAACTTTTGTTATAGCAAAGTTTTTGGGAAAGCATATTTCTCATGCTTGTCTTAGGAATATTAGGTGGGTATACAATTTAACCATTTAAATGCTTCTCAGACCATGCATTTTAAAAGGAAGTGAACAGAAAGGTTTATATTAGTCTTGGACACAAGACTCTAATGGCCTTCTAAAGATGTTTTGCCTGATGCTTCATAAATAAGAAGTTTATCTGAAAATATTTTGCAGATGCAGTCCATCACTTTACAGATGAGTACAACAGAATTATAACAAGTTTACTGATTTCAAACTTCAAAGGAGACAGAGAGAAGACTCTGCTTTTTTTGAGAGAATTTTTCAGCTCTTACTTTGTTCTTCTGAAGCTCTTTTTAAGGTAAGGACAGATTTCATGAGCAAAGTATGTATCTGCCCTGCATGCTATCCCCTTATGCTTGTATGCAAGCTCAGATAACTGAACAGTCCACATTTTGCCTTAAGCCTAAATAAGAATGCAGCAGTGTGTGGCTATGGTCAACAAGTTCCAAAAGGATAATATCTTTCAGTAGATCATTCCTAAATTAGCTTTTAACTTTTCTTCATTTTTTCATAGTAGAGTAACTCAGGTGAAGTTCTGCAGGTGAAATTCTGTATACTTGGAGCTGAAGCAGGAGGAAATTTAATTTTCATCTGCAGAGCTTTATTTTCAATTTGCTGTATGTATCTAGAAACAAATTGTTGCTAACTTATAGGTGTTCAGTGTCCAGCACGTAACGTGCTAAAAAGATGGCCTAGGTGTCATCAAAGAGTACACACGATAGGTACAACCTCTTCACATTTCAGTATTTTCCCAGTTTCAATTTTAGCTTTATGACATGAGTGCATAGTAAACTTGCACAATTTACAAACAGACAGGACCTTCATTATTTCAAATGGCTGAATCTAGGGGCACATAATAGGAAAAAAAATTTCTGGTTAAAATGCAGTTTATTAAATAAAAATCTCATTCAGAATTAGATAAAATGTGGTTTTAACACTGAGGCATGTGTTATTGCTGTCATATGCAGTATGACAACAATTATAAGGTTGTATACTACATGGGATGACCTAATTTCAAAGACAGTTCAGTAGTGTGTCCCTTCATGAATCTGTAACATTCCATAGTAAATGATAATGGAAGTAACAAAGAAAGCATGTCACTCCTATTTTTCACTTTCAGTAACCTTCAAAAGAGGAGCTTAGGAGGATGTCTAACAGCAGCATAACCCAGCAGAACCATTCCTCTGATGGCACGGTGCTGGGCACCTCACCGAAGCTCCACACTTTTCTCATAATCCTGTACATCATCAACTTGGCTGGTGGCACCCTCGGGGTCATCATGATGTTCCGTCAGTTGCTTCAAAGGAGATCACAGTCTGTGATGACCATTATCATCATCAGCCTCCTAGTGCTGCACACCTTTATGCTACTCAGCATCCCCTTTCGCCTCAGCTATTACATTTTGCAGGAATGGAAATTTGGGATGCTTGCCTGCAGGCTAGTGAGTGCCTTCATCTACCTCCACATGTACACCACCTTCATGTTTTACATGGCTATCATCATAATACGCCTCTTCCAACTCAAATTTAGGAAGTGCTGCTCTACAGCATGGGTGGGTGCTGTTTGGCTGGTGGGAGCACTGGTGATGACACCTGTTCTTCTCTCGTACTATGGCACCGTTGGGACATACAAGCCCTCTGAATGCTTTCAGTTCCACAAAGAGATACAAGAGAAGCCCATGATGATTGCAAACTACTGCATGGTTGGCATTATGGTGGCAGTTTGTGCTGTTCTCACTGCAATCCAGTTTTTTGTGATCTACAGACTAACTGTGAAATACTGGCCTGACATTAACTCTCATGTGGAATTCAGGGCTCAGGCAAAGAGTTTCTTCTTCATCTTGGTAGCATTAGTGTGCTTTATGCCTCATCATGTATTCAGAGCATATTATATCCAAAACTACCACCTGGATAAAGACCATAAACTACTCCCATACAATGAAATTTTTTTAGCTTTAACAACAATGTGCTGCTTGGATATGTTGTGCTTCATAGCAGGAATAGCCCACTGAACTGTGAACTACCAAGAAATCCAGCTGCAATATGTCAATACTGGCTTTTAGCAGAAACTAAACTATGTTGGGATTTTCCTGACCTAGGCAGACTGCTGAGTTTTCGGCATGGCTGTGCAGGTCTATAGCATTGTTTGGCTTTTGCAGACCAGTAAGATCCATCTTTCACAAGTTGCTGTTTTCAGTCTTCTCTCTGGAAGCCAGAAATGTGAGTGTTACTCTAATCTTTGACCTGAGAGTCATGCCCTGAAGCTTCATTAAGATTTTCCTCAGCTGTCCTTCTCTAACAATTAAAGCACAAGTATCCATTCATTTGTTTTTTTAACTCAAAGTGTCTCTATAACAACAGCTCACTGTGGCCAATAAGTTGTCTACTCTGATGGTCTAATAACTTCTGGCAAATGTGATATCGAAGGGAAGAGTGGGAAGAAATAAATTCCTTTACAGGATATCTGTACTAGAGATTTTAGACAGCAAGTACACAAACTCTATTTGAAGAAAAAGGATTCATAGAGTCACAGAATGGGTAAGGTTGGAAGGGACCAGAGTGGGTCATCTGGTCCAACCTCCCTGCTCAAGCAGGGCCATCCTAGAGTACATTGCACAGGATTACACACAGCCTGTTCTTGAATATCTCCAGTGGGGGAGACTCCACGACCTCTCTGGACAATCTGTTCCAGTGTGCAGTCACCCACATAGTAAAGAAGTTCTTCCTGATATTCAGGTGGAACTTTCTGTGCACCAGGTTCTGCCTGTTGCCTCTTGTTCTCTTGTCTGGCACTGCCAAGAAGAGCTGGCTCCATCTTCTTGGCACCATCCCTTCAGATACTTATATACAGTGATGAGGTCCCCCATCAGTCGTCTCTTCTCGGGCCTGAACAGGCCCAGCTCTCTCAGCCTAAGAGAGATGATCCAGTCCCCCAGTTATCTTTGTAACCCTCTGCTGGACCTGCTCTAGGAGCTGCATGTATTTCTTGTACTGAGGAGCCCAGAACTGGACACAAAGATGTGGCCTTACTAGGGCTGAGTAGAGGGGCAATATCACCTCCCTCAGCTTGCTGACAATGCTCTTCCTAATGCACTCCAGTTCACCATTAGCCTTCTTGGCTACAAGGGCACACTGCTGACTCATGGAAAAGTTCTTGTCCACCAGGACCCCCAAGTCCTTCCCTGCAGAGTATCTTTCCAACAGGTTGGCTCCCAGCCTGTACTGTAAGAGGTTATTCTTCCCCAGGTGCAGAGCCCTGAATTGGCCTTTCAGAATTTCAGATAGTTCTTCTCTGTGCATCTCTTCAGTCTGACAAGGTTCTCCTTCAGAGCTGTACAGCCCTCTGGGGTATTGGCCACTCCTCCCAGCTTTGTGTCAGCAGCAGACTTGCTGAGGAGGCACTCTGTCCCTTCATCCAAATCACTGATGAATAAGTTAAACAATACTGGGCCTAGTATTGAACCTTGGGGGACACCACTAGTGACAGGCCTCTAACTAGACCCTCTGCCACTGTTTATGACCCTCTGGGATTTGCCATTCAGCCAATTCTCCATCCACCTCACTGCCCACTCACTTAACCCACCCTTGAAACAAGGTAGTAGCATATTTCAGCAGAATCTTTCTTTTCTTCACTTATACAAAGTGTGCTTTAATGAAATTATGTGAAAACACTTACCATTTTCAAAACTTCATCTTGCTTCATTCCAAAACCACAAGCAGCTCACTGAATTGTGGTAATTACATATTTAAAGTGAGTGATAGCAGAATAGGCCACAGAATTGAAAATTTCTCCCTTGTCACTCTTCCATGAGGACTGGATCTGTGGCTATTATCCATTAGGTCCATTGTAGCCAAAGAAATATAAATTGCTACTAAATTGCTGTAGTTCTATACCTGGATCTGGAATTCAAATCAAGGGGTCCTTTACTGAAGGATCAGACACTCTCTAGGAGAGGGAAATACTTGATCAACCTTCAAAAAAACTTTGATATCTTTTCACTTCCAGTTGCTGTCCTGGTCTGATAAGACATGGGGGAGTTTAATTGGGTCCCCCAATATGAATTAAGGCACAGACAAGGTCAAAATACCACCAGCAAGTGAGACTCTTATTGGTGAGAAAGGGCAATAGGAGAGTTAGGAACAGGGGAAGTAAGCAAGATTTGAGATGCCAAAGCAGAGATAATCACCACCGTGGATCCAAGCGGCATTCCGATGATCCATAGTTGTCTTTTCTTGGGTGGTGGATGCACACACACACACACACAGACACGCACACACGGGATGCAGGTCGCTTTTTATAAGACTCTGCCACGGCACTGATTGGTCAGCTCCCCTTGAGTTGCTGGGCCTTGCAAGAATCCTGAGAAAGTTGTGGTTCAGGTGTGGCCAGATATTTACCATAGACAATGGGATCTTGTTATCTCAGTAGCTGGAGAGGATTTTGGTTGTTATCTTGGCAGTTGGAGAGTTTTGGTGGAATCCTGGTGGACAATGACATCTTGTTATCTTGACTGCCAGAGGATTTCCATCACCAGAGATGTCCTGTGGCTCAGCAAGCTTTGACACCAAGCCTTTGCCACACAACAAGCCATCAAAGTCAGGCAATGTTGAAACAAACATTTCTTAAAGGACCCTTTCAGCTGCCTGTTGATTTATTATCAGAGGGCATATTTTTTCCATTGACACATATCGTAAAGCAGAACTAGAATAAACTTATTGAACTGTTTAATTTGTTCAACATATTCTCATGTATGTGTATATAAACTTGTGCTGGAGTATATATCTTCTTCATTAGATAGGTTATATTCTTTGGGAATTACATCCATTCTGGGAATCTTTGGTTTATCTTCATTATTTAAAAGTTCTTTTTAAGGATTCATTCTTTCTGCTCTGCTCAGTGCAGAAGGTCTCTAACCTGTCTGCCAAAGGCTCGACCGTCATTTGCAGCATTCCAAGAGTTTGAAGCCAGATTTCCCTCACCCCAGACTCTCAGGAGTAACACAAGGGTATGCTTCCTTCTGCACAGCTCCCTAAGCTGCCATAAATTTTGATCTGGCAATCCTTGCTCCAGAAAGTGCTATGATCCCTGGATTCAAACAGGTGAAATCTTGATTGATCTACTGACACCTCAGATCGATGGCATTTCCTTGAATATAAGAGATTACACCTACTCTGTCAATGCTGAATAAATGTTTTTGCCTTGACATTTACATAAAAAAAACTTTGATGAATACTTTTGATGTTTCCAGGATCCCTTCTGCCTCTTTTAAAAGGTGAGAGGTGTCCAGGGTCCAGCAATAAGTCCTGAAGTCTTCCGAAAATCCTGCCCTTATGGCTTCCTCTAGAGTTACCAGGTGCACTCCTGTTAATACAATAGTTTCATCAGCCCATTATTTTCAAAGGCATCAGCTAGATGTACAACACAGTACAACACAGACAAAATGCAAAGGGATAGATTCTAAAGTTGGATCTACCAAAGTCTTTAGAAACACTGGTGAAGCTGCAGGTGGTGCAACATGTATGTTGTTTTACCATTACTGTATTCCTGTGGCTAGATTAAAAAAAAATCTGTTACTTGAAGAAGTGTCCTGGGTCACTGCCTATTCTCACTGACCAGTGTTTCCAAGGTGACTTACCTGGTAAAGATCAGATTCATCTGACATTGCTTGTGAGTCTGCTGATAATCTATCAGTCCACCATAATGGTGTGTGAGTTTGGGAGAGAAAAAGGGAAATTACATACATGTCTTCAGCCATGGTAACAAACCATGACTTTATGGCCTTGCCCTTTGCTACTGCCTGACAGTTTTCACCTGTGCCTGGCTGCAGGCCTTGCTGAAATAACCCTGGCTCACTGACCTGACTTCCTTTCATGACGCTGAAGCTGTGCTGCCCATCACAGCTGTCTGGTAACCACGGGCTGCTGGCTGCCAATGGACCTGCTCTGCTTGCTTTGCTTGGGTACTGCAGGACTACACATGTCACTGGGTCTGGCTGGGATGGAGTGAACTTGCACAGCATCAAGGCTTTCTCTCTTTCCTAGTCTGTCCTGCAGTGAATAGGCTGGGAGTAGACAAGACAACGAAAGAGGATACAGTGGGACAACTCACTTGAACTGGACAAGGGGATCTTCTATATGATATGATGGTGTGCTTGGCAATGCAAAGGGATGTAGAAGAAGAGGGGAAGGGATTTACTTCCTTGGTGGGTGTTGCTCAGAGACTAGCAGGACATCAATCTACTTGTGGGAGATGATAAGTGATTTCTGGTTTGTTATTTGTTGGTTTTTTAATCTTCCTTTCACCTATTAAACTGTCTGCAGCTCAACTCATGGCTTTTGCTTTTGTTCTTCATCATCTGTCCCTGATCCCACTGGGGGTGGAGGGACTGGGAGAGCAGTTGTGTGGGTGCTCAGCTGCTGGCCAGGCCCAGCCCACCACCCACCACCTTCCTTTGCCAGAAAATTGGACGTAGCTGAAATTTATATCTGTGATACTTCTTCCTTGCAGCCACAGCCAAACAACCTTTATTATTAACCACTGCAATGAATTGTATGGAAAGTGAAATGCAGCTTCAACTTCTTCCCACAGTGAATAAAAATTGGGAGAGATTTTGTAGCAAGGCTTCAGGTAGAACTTCATTCTTAGTGCTTGCTGTATGATCCAGATCATCCCCATTTCTTCTTCCACCCAACAGTCAGTTTCTTTAACCCTACCCATGGACCACACTCCTCTCTGCCTCTTTACTTCCGCCATTGATTTCGCTTTGCATTTTAGTCTAAGCTCCTTTTTCTGTTTTATTTTAATGCTTGACCATTTTGTTTCTACCTTCTCTCACTGGCTAGGGCTCAGCCATGTGGGGGCAAACCACTCACTGGTCTCACTATGGTCCTCCTAATTCAGAGGATAATAAATTGAGCATTGACCTCAGTGTTGTTACATCTAAGACTCACATTAAAGTGATAGCGATAAGCTCTATTCAATACCCAGTCCCCTGCTGAGATCTGGAAGAAC